GTTCTTCAATACTTTTATCATGAAGAGATGTTGAACATTGTCAAAGCCCCTTTCTGCATGTATGGAGCTAATCATGATTTCTGTACTTAGGTCTGCTTATGTATGGTATCAAGCTTTATTAATTTGCATCTGTTGAATTGTTCTACATCCTTGCAATGGAACCATCTTTTTAATGTGTCTCATCTTTTTAATGTGTTCTTGAGTTCAGTTTGCATATATTTTATTGATAATTTTTATGCCTATGTTCATCAGTGAAATTGTTTCATAGTGTTCTCTTGTTCTATCCTTACCCAGTTTTGGTATTAGGGTAATGCTAGATTTGTAGAATGAGTTTGGAAGTGTTCTTTCTCCTTCCGTTTCATAGAACACTTTGAGGAACAATAGTGTTAGCTCTTCTTTGAATGTATGGTAGACTTTGACAGTGAATCCATCTAGTCCTGGGCATTGTTGTTAGACTCTTTATCGCATTTTCAATATTTATTGCTAGTTATAGATCTGTTTAAGTTATTTCTATCTTCCTGATTTAAGTCTGGTGAGTTGTATGTATCTAGCAATTTATCTGTTTCTTCTAAATTTTCAAGTCTTTTGGAATGTAGGTTTTCACTATATTCTGTAATAACCTCTGGATTTCACTGAACGCTGTAGTAACCTCACTTTTTTCATCTCTAATATTATTAATGTGAGTCTTTTTCTCTTTATTTTTGTTAAATTGGCTAGGGATTTTCAATCTTTGTGTTTTTTCAAAGAACCAACTCTGGTTTATTTCTATGTATTGTTCTCTTAGTCTCCATTTCACTAATTATATTATTTGTTGCGATCTATGTTTTGGGCTTTATCTTAGTTTTGTTTTTCTAAGACCTTGAAGTGCATCATTAGGTTATTTATGTCTGCTTTCTCTAATTTAAAAAAAAAAAAAAAAGTATTATTGCCTGGCAGTGGTGGTGTGGTGGTGTATTCTTTTAATCCTAGCACTCAGTAGGCAGAAGCAGGGGGATCTCAGTGAGTTCAAGGCCAGTCTGATCTACAAAGTGAGTTCCAGAACAGCCAGGGCTGTTATGCAGAGAAACCCACAAACACAAAACAAAAAAAGTACTATTGTGAGTATGTGCATGATTGAGGGGTACATGCAACAGTGCACACGTGAAAGTCAGGGGACAACTTTGTAGAACTGGTTCTCCTCTTCCACCTTAGAGTGGGTTCTGGGGATCAAGTTCAGGTCACAAGATTTGCAGGACAAGTACTTCCACCCACTGAGCTTTCCCACTGTCCTTGAATATTTAATGTGCAGACTCATAACCATAAACTTTCTTCCTAGAGCTGCCTTACCTATATTCCAAAGGTTCTGATGAAGAGTGATTTCATTTGATTCTATGAATTTTTACATTTTTCCTGATTTCTTCAACAACCTGCTGGTCACTCAAAGTGTATTGTTCGGTATCCACTGTTTGTGTATTTTATGTTTCTTCCTGCTGTTGACTTCTAGTTTTATTTGACTGTTAACTGATAAGACATAAGGCATTATTTTTATTTGTTTGTGGCTGTTAAAACTAGCTTTATAGCTTAGAATGTAACCTATTTTAGAGACTGTTCCATGGGCTGCTGAGGAAAATGTGTGTTCCATATCCACTGGATAGAATATTCTGTAGATACCTTAAGTCTATTTGATCTATATTTTAGTTGAATTTTGAAGTTTATTGATTTTTAGCTTGCATTCATGCTAAAACTCTGAGAAGAATGGAGTGCTAAAGTTATGTGCATATGTGAATATTAAATAAAGTGCTTAATTTAAAAAAACAGCTTTAAATAAAAAGTTTGACCAAGACCAAGTTTGACCTAAGATTGACACTTAGGCAAAACACAAAAGAATCATATATTATGGAAAGAAATTTAAAGAATATTACAGCTCTCCATGTAAGCCTGAGGACCTAGGTTTGCTATCTAGTACCCATATATAATGCTGAGCATGACAAACATCTGTAATCCCAGAACAGATACAAGAAGATCCCTGAAACTTGCCAACTAGCCAGTGTAGCCAAATCCCTGACTTCCAGGTTTAGAGATCCTGTCTCAAAGATTAAGGTAAAGAGCAACTAAAACAACATTCAGCATCAACCTCTGGCCTCCATGCATGTGCATTCACGAACCACACACATGCACACACACACACACACACACACACACACACACACACACTCGTTTGCTCACACATGACACCATCACAGCCTGGAGATGCCTATATGCCTATTTAAATGCTTCTGAGGTTCCAAGGAGAGTAACTGTTGGTCAAACCTTGAGTATATGTGAGATTTTAGTAATGCTTTTATTTAGAGGTCTAATGCCAGAAGCCAGGATGCTTTTTTTTTTTTTTTTTTTTTTTTTTTTTTTTTGAGCCCTCAGATGGACTGGGTCAACTGTTACCAATTAGGGATAGAGTAGGAAATGCCCTTCAGTACATGTTTTTCTCCTCTTCCACTTTTTTTTCTCAAACTATTAATAGAGTCCTGAACCTTCTCATCGAGAAGATTCTGTTGACTTTTTAATTGCTTGACTGTGTAAAGGGTTTTGTTGAGATGCCATTCATTTGTGTCCTCTGTAGACCCTGGGAGTTCAGACTTCACTTCCAAAAGAGTTCTGTCCAGCCAGCCATGATGGCACATGTGTTTAGTCTCAGCAAAGGCAGGCAGACCGAGGTCGAGACCAGCCTGGTCTACAGAGGGAGTTCCAGGACAGCCAGGGCTGCACAATAAAACCCTGGAGCCTGGAGTTATGGTTCCAGCGAGCCTTGCCTCTGTGGCCAAGGAGGATCCAGAGTCCCAGCAGGAAGGTTTATTCCAGGATGCAGATCATGCAGTGATCAAAGTTGTCATACCATGTCAGGTGCTACTGTAAAACTCTTGTGCCAGAATGAAAAATCATTTTTCTACAGATTATCCAAACAAATGAACTTTTATGAGAGATTCAAAGCCTATCAAGATTACATTTTAGGTCCTGAATTGAATTAATCGGATTGTTTTTAATTCTTCTTGGAATCACTGAACATATTTAAGGTTACAAACGTGACTTTTTCAGCCTTGAAGGCAGTAGTGAGACTTGCAGAACCATGTGTCTATGAATCTAAGTTGAGCACTTTTACCTTGGCAAATATGAAGGAGCTTTTGGACCTGAAGGAGTCTCAGCTGCCTCTACAGGAGATATGGATGGTGTCAGATGACTCACATGAATTTCACCAGATGGCACTTGCAATTGAACATGTCAGGGTTTTCTACAAAAACATTGGGAAAAGTTGGGATGAAGAAGAGGAGGATGAGTATGACTATTTTGTCAGATGTATGGAACCTCGATTGAGATTGTATTATGATATACTTGAAGATCGAGTTCCCTCAGGACTTGTTGTTGACTACCACAATCTTTTGTCTCTATGTGAAGAGAGTTACAGGAAATTTTTAAATCTGAGAAGTAGTTTGACAAATTGTAATTCTGATACTGAGCAAGAAAACATCTCCATGGTGGAAGGGATAAATTTGTATTCAGAGATTGAACAGTTGAAACAGAAGCTAAAACTCATTGAGAATCCTTTGTTGAGATGTGTTTTTGGTTATCAGAAGAACTCTAATATCCAAGCCAAGGGCACTCATAAAAATGGCTAGAAAGTTACCCATGTGGTTTCCTCCACCATGAAGACAAGTCTACTGCGGTCTCTGTTTAGGGACAGATTTTGTGAGGAGTCTTGCAAAGAAGAAGAAACAGAAATTCAGTTCCATAGTGATCTGTTGTCTGCTATAAATGCCTGCCATGAGGGTAACACTGTCATTATTTGTCCCAGCCATTATGTGGTTCATGGTACCTGCTCCATAACTGACTCTATTGAATTGGAAGGATATGGTCTACCAGATGATATTGTCATAGAAAAGAAGGGCAAAGGAGATACTTTCGTGGATTGCATGGGTATGGATGTTAAAATTTCAAGCATAAAATTTATTCAGCATGATTCTGTAGAAGTAATCTTAATCACCATGGCAAGATCACGCTGGAGAACTGTGTACTGCAATGTGAAACTACAGGAGTCCCAGTATGCACATCAGCAGAACTTTTCATGAAGAACTCAGATGTATATGGTGCCAAGGGTGCTGGTATAGAAATATATCCTGGGAGTAAGTGTACCCTGACTGACAGTGGGATCCATCACTGCAAGGAAGGGATTCTCATTAAGGACTTCCTTGATAAGCATTATGATATTCCCAGAATTTCTATGATAAATAACATCATACATAACAATGAAGGGTATGGTGTTGTTTTGGTGAAGCCTACAATTTTCTGTGATCTACAGGAAAATGTCCAAGATGAAATTAGTGACAATAAATTCAGGAAAATAGAGGGGTGGATGCCACTGAATGATTAGCTTTGGAAGAAACGCTTCAATGTGTTGCTAACAAAATGGAGCTTTCTGCCACAGGTGACTTTTCTGAACAAGCTAAGGGAAATTGTGAAATTATAAATGAACTACTTGTTACTTCAGTGCAAAAAGGACAGATGAAGAAAAGATTGAGCAAACTTGGGATCATACAAGTTGATGACAATATAATGTCACAGGAGATATTTATTGAAATTAGGGGAAACCAGTTTAAGTGGAATGGCAAAGGGAATTTTGGCACATTTCTTTACTAGCTACAATGAAATCAATAGTTCACAAATATTGTATTTTGAACATGTCCTAAGAATCATACTGCTTATGTAGTTTACTTCATTTACTTCATGGCTATATATTATATAATATATACTTGCAAAAAAAAAGAAAGAAAGAAAGAAAGAAAAGAAAAACAAAAATAACCAACCAAAACTAAAGGATTCTGTCCTTTTCCTGTTGAATCAGCTCTTGGATGGCGGTGAATTAGTCCTGAGGGTTACGTGGTAATAATGCTAGTTTTAAATTCACTCTTCATTGTGTGTATGTCTGAAGGAATGTCACTTACTCTTCTCTACTTGTCCTCTTATTGCTTTAGCGCATAAAATCGGGCAGAGACAGTGGCGGAGGCTCTCGAAGCAAACGAGAGGGGAGCGCTGGCAGTGGTGAGTGTCTTCTGTGCCCTTGAACACTGTATTCGACAGCTTCTAGAAATATTGAGACATCCAGAAGTCTCCTCTATATGTTTTATGTTCTTTGTCTGTTTATTTATGTACACAGTAAAACCTCCATTATTTAAGTTGGCAAGTGGTTGTTCTGATAGGTATATAGATGTTTGTAAATGTTACCATATTTTAGTTCTTAAATTGCATGCCTGTTTCTGTCCATTGATTAATCAAGTTCAAGTTGGAGAATAGCATAGATAGGCATATGAATGAGGTTTTACTGTTAACATTTCAAAATTCCCACTTAAAGTACTTAGCGTGTAGTGTAGTCTCTGGGATGCTGACAGCCCAGATCTCTAGTCTGACCTCAGCAGCACTGCAAATCTAACAAGACAGTTCACATCCTGTCTTGATCTTGACAACATACTTCTGCTTGTGAGCCAGCCATAAATACTTTACATGCTTTTGAAGTTCTTGACATTTTTTCAATTCCTTGATTTGGGCTCCTTGTGACATCATTTGTTAATAAAGGATTATAGTGCATTTTCTATTCTTTTGTCTCAGCTTCTGTCAGGCAGTGGTAGTGACAGTGGAAATGTGATCACTTTTTAAAAGCTAATTTTAAAAACATAAATGTTAAATTAAAATTAAGATTTGATTTTCTGGGACCAGGCAGTGGTGGCTCATAGCTTTAATCCCATCACTTGGGAGGCAGAGGCAGGCAGATCTCTGTGAGTTCGGGACCAGCCTGGTCTACAAGAGCTAGTTCCAAGACAGGTTCCAAAGCTACACAGAGAAACCCTGTCTAGAAAAACAAAACAAACAAAAAGTTTTTATTTTCCTACATCATTTCATTTCCACACTCAGCACTGTCCCACACACAATACCCTGGCCTACCTAACAGACCAACAGTGTTGCCTTGTAGAGTTCTAACCCAGGAGTATGGCAGTAACAAGTAGAGATGAACAGGACGTGGTACCCGTAGGCGTGGCAGCTGACATCGAGTTAGAAAGACACAGGCTTCGATGCCACTGCCAGGGCTGCTTGGGTAGAAAAGCACATGGGTTTTCTGATTTTCTTGTGGATAGAAAACTTCAGTTGAAACGAAGATTCTACCATGAATTCAGAGCTCTGTGTTTGCTAACTGTGTTTAGGCAGTTGTAGTTTCTGGTGGCATACAGTTCTAGCCAGACAACTTGGTTCCACGAGAGCCAAGCCACCTGGCAAACCTCCACCTCCTGGCTTATTTCTCCTTAGGCCACAGGAGCCATGACACAGTTTGAGAAGTGGCAGGAGCATCAAAGACAGTTTGCTGTGTGGAAGAACAATGGTCCTCCCTCTCACCGTCCCATGGTCTTGATGGACACAGTGTTTTCTTTACTGTCCCTGTCTCCCAGAACCTCCCCAACTCCTACTTCATAGAAGCCACTTGCCCTTCAGTTAGACTGAGCTGAGTCTTGAGTCTGACAGATCTAGGCACCAGTCCGTCATTAGCTGGAGGCAGCTATCAAGATCATGGCCCCTGTCTAGAAGTTGAGCTAAGCAGGATGTGAACTCAGAAATTAGTGTGGAGCATTAACCACATCTCCTGAAAGCCATGTGAAATCATTATGTTCCCAATCCAGTGTCACATATAAATAGTCCCATTAAAGAGAGTAAGACTTGCAATCATGTTTCATATCCAGGAAGTTCATGTATGGCCACCTGGAAACCTGGCCTTCATGGCTTGTGAACTTTTGAACTGTAGGTGAGGGATTAAGGGTCTGTATCAAAAACTGGTATTGGGCAGCAGGCATTGAAAGAAACTCCTGATCCAGGCCAGGTGGTGCCTACCTGTAATCTCAGCCCTGGGAGGAGGAAGAGGATCCGGGGTTCTAGGCCAGCGTGGGCTACAAACCAAGACCGTATTATCCCTGCCTTCCCTTAAAAAAAAAAAAAAAAAAAAAAAAAAAAAAAGACACTTAGAAGGTTCCCCAAACCAAACTGATAGTACTTGATCATAGAAAAGGGGAGACATGTGGCGCGGGCTCTTTTAAAATTGAGTACCCTTTCATAGTTGGCCTTTAGGAAAGTAGACAAACTTGGTGACCACCTTAAAGCCAGCACTTGGGAGGCTGACACGAAAGGATCACCACCACAAATCTGGAGGCAGCCTGAGCTAAATAGTGGGTTCCAGGTCTGCCTGGGCTACAGAATGAGACCCTATTTAAGAAAGAAAGAAAGGAAATTCTAGAGCACTGAGACTAACTTGTTCCTGATGCTAACCGCCCTACACTAGGTTTTCAGAAGTGCTTGTTCGTTTGGAAGCCTGAGCCTCCTGGCTTTCCACCCTGAAAGCCTGTCTTAGAGACCCTGGGTCTGTGAAGGATTCTGCAGCCAGGGGAAGTGCTGGGGAGGTGGTCTGGAAAGTCTGCCCAGGGCTCTCAGCAGTCTACAGGAAGACGCCAAGCCCTGCAGTGGCCCTTCCAAACTGGCCTTAAACTCCTCGGCAGTCAGGGCTGAGAGGGATGCCTGTGTCGGGGGAGCTGCCCAGCCCCTGCCTGCCACTGCTCCACTGCCAGTTTTAATCAAGTTTGCTTTCTCCCATCCAGTCCATTTCAGGCCAAAACAAATACTGCCAGCATACAAGTGAGCTCTATGCTCACAAAAGCTGTTCCAAGGAGAAACTTGGCCCTGGTGGCACTTTGCAAGCAGGGCCTCATGTCGCTTGGTTTGCTTGGCACCGGTTTAAAGGGCCACCCAGGACCTTCTCTGGGTGCTGCGGCCTCTCCAAGCATGGGCCTTTTTGTTCCTTATTTTCTGACACCTCAGGCATGGCAGTCCTGATGTCCTCACCTCATCCTGCTGTCAGATGTGAGCACCTCTGTGAGCATCCACCCTGCAGTCAGAAGAAACAGGCTGTGGCTGCCTTCTTCTGTCTTGACTTGGGAGCCCCTCACCCCTGCCTCAGGACACCCTCAAGCCCACTGTGGCAACATGCCTGCCCTCAGGTACTCTAGGGTTCCTGGAGAGAATGAATCCCTTCTCCACACCTCCATGGTGACCCAGTCTTTAGCATGGCAGTACTCAACCTCCACACATCCAAGGATCAGATGGGGAAGAAAGGCTTTCAATAGGGACCCACATAAAGCCTCCCTTAAACAAGTACAGTATTTTTAAAGAAACAAATGCAGCAGCCAGGCCTGGTGTTGAAAACCTTTAGTTCTAGCATTCGGGAGACAGAGGCAGGAGGATCTCTGAGTTTGAGACCAGTCTGGTCTACAGATTGAATTCTGGGATAGTCAGGGCTATGTAGGGAGACACTATCTCAAAAACAAAACAAAACATGTAGGGTACAAGCTTGCTTTGACAGTCTTGTCTAGAAGAACACAACTTGGCTGTGTGTGTCAGGATTACTGATTGTATAGCGTAAGTCTGCAGGGTTCGCCTCCAACAGCTCTGGTTTGTTGTTCGGGGTTTGTGTTTACAGCTCAGACTAGATCACCTTCCCCAGCGTGTGCCAGCAGGTTCATCCAGCCTTAGGTCTCACCTTGTCCCTGTCACTACAAGGTGTCACCTTGAGAAGCCTCTTCCCACGGTGTAGGAGTTATGTGCACAGCCATGGAGCCATCCTCCACACTGCCTAGGACACATTTATCCTCAAACACATGATACCTATTGCTGTAGGTGTTTTGGGGACACACTTGCTATGGTGGCCCAGATTCACCTTGAAACTCCCAGCCATGCTCCTGCTTCAGCTTCCCAAGTACTGAGGCCACAGGCATGCCCAGGATTTTCAGAACTTTATTTTTACAGAATTAACTAAAATTAAGTGACCTTAAATATGTTTAAATTACTTGAGGTTAAAAAAAAAATATGCTGCTTTTTACTAGCAGAGTTTGGGGGTCAGGGTTTAGCAGTATTGATAGTCATGCAAAGAAACAAAAAAAATAAATCAAGAATGTCAGCATCCAAAATCAGAACCACATCTTCTACAGTTTCAGAGTGTCCCAGTATTTCTGTCCTCTGTGGTTAAATGTGGATAAACGGAGGAAGAGGGTAACCCTGTTCTCACCTAGTTAATGTGCAGGCTCCATGGAAGAGGCCAGGCAGGGCCTGTCTGCAAATGTCTGCTTCTCATGTGAACCTGTCTTCGAGTCACTTCACTGCCCTACCATGCTCTTGTGGATTCATTCAAGTACCGTGTTAAGGTTTTGTTTTAAATTGCGCTTTTTCATTTGCTCTGTATAATTTTAGTGGCTTGCTGTGTTTTTTCATGTGATTTTGACGATGTCCTGGATGCAGACTCCTCTAGTGGAAATATATCTGTTTTAATTTCATAGTGACTTTATAAAGAAAAGAATGCACTATGGCTCAGTGAACAGAAATTCGCTTTTCAGTCAACTTTCTGAAGGACATTTTAGTTTTGTAAAAGTCCAAATTTGATGCGGAGATTATAGTCCCAAAGCAGGCAGTTTTTTGTTGTTTTTGTTTTTGTTTAGAAAATACCTTTCAATAATTTTTCTGGGTTTTCATGGTATTGGAAGCAGAGAGTGAAAAGGTCACACTCATATGCCTCCAGGAATAGAGGCCCCTTCCCCCCCCCCAGATTGTGCCTCTGAGTACTTGCCAAGGAGGTACTACACCAGAGTCACATGGAGGGAGGGAGTGGGCCACTCTTGTGGAGAAGCAAGCCCTGAGGGCCAGATGGGGGACCATCATGTCTTTTGAGTATTATTCCTGCCAATTGCAGCTTGAGCAGCCCTTCGCTCCAGAGATCAAGTTGATGGTGTTGCTGGACACCCTGGTTTCTGACCACTTTGCAGCACATGTGCCTTCTTAGGGACACAGCATATAGGGACACACCATACCAAAATCCCTCAGTGTTAGGGTCCAGAACTTTGCACACATTAGTACCACTGTTAAGGAGCCTTGCAGGGTATTCCAATTTGGCTTAGTGATTCTGTAAGCCAAGCCATGCCATGCATGGACAATCTAGGATTACAGACCACATGTTAGTG